AACACGTGCTTAGTAGGAGAGAGCCGCCCCCGAATCTCTGTTCTGGTGGGTTCAGAGTGGGCCTCAGAGATCGGCAGCACATGTGTCCTCTCCTCAGATGAAGTGCGCACAGGGACCTACAGGCAGCTCTTCCACCCGGAGCAGCTGATCACCGGCAAGGAAGACGCAGCCAATAATTATGCCAGAGGCCATTACACCATCGGCAAGGAGATTGTCGACCTGGTCCTGGACCGAATCCGCAAACTGGTGAGAACACCGGGAAGGCTTTAGGACTGACAGGTCACTTTGGCCAAACACAACCTGACTTTGCAGTGTGACCGCAGCATGTCTACTTGTTTAGCGTCTGCTCGGCTTTGCGTCTGAGCGTGCTGCGTGGCACTGTGGATGATTTGAGTCCATAGACACGCGGAAAGGAACACTTGGGGGTGACCCTGTTGGAGGGCAGCGGTGTGGTTGCTGCAGCTGTTGACCCTGGCTTCTCATTTCGTTTGCTCTCAGGCGGACCTGTGCACGGGGCTGCAGGGCTTCCTCATCTTCCACAGCTTCGGGGGCGGCACCGGCTCCGGGTTTGCGTCTCTGCTCATGGAGCGGCTGTCGGTAGACTATGGCAAGAAGTCCAAGCTGGAATTTGCCATTTACCCGGCGCCCCAGGTGTCCACGGCCGTGGTGGAGCCCTACAACTCCATCCTGACCACCCACACGACCCTGGAACATTCCGACTGTGCCTTCATGGTGGACAACGAAGCCATCTATGACATATGTCGGCGCAACCTGGACATCGAGCGGCCCACCTACACCAACCTCAATCGTCTGATCGGGCAGATCGTGTCCTCCATCACGGCTTCCCTACGCTTTGACGGGGCCTTGAACGTGGACCTGACGGAATTCCAGACCAACCTGGTCCCGTACCCCCGCATCCACTTTCCCCTGGCCACCTATGCCCCGGTCATCTCAGCGGAGAAGGCCTACCACGAGCAGCTGTCTGTGGCTGAGATCACCAATGCCTGCTTCGAGCCGGCCAACCAGATGGTCAAGTGTGACCCTCGCCACGGCAAGTACATGGCCTGCTGCATGCTGTACAGGGGGGACGTGGTCCCCAAAGATGTCAATGCGGCCATTGCCACCATCAAGACCAAGCGCACCATCCAGTTTGTGGACTGGTGCCCGACTGGGTTTAAGGTAGGCCTGGGTGACGCTGGGTGGTTTTCCCCGTTGGCAGGCAGCAGACCCTGCGATAGCACGCTGCCCTTTTCTGCACAATGCCTTTTTTTCAGGTCAGCTCAGTGTAGAGGGAATGACCTTACTAATTAATTTGCTGAGCACCTTATTCAAAGTAGTTTATGTGACCTTTTGCTTACAATTCTGTAATATCCATACTTATATTTTGTGCTTTAGACACAGACTGGTAGAGCTTTCATATATAAAGATTTCACTGGCACAGTAGGAAAGCAGTAAAGGAAAGCAGTAAAGGAGGGTCTACTGTAGAAGCAGTCCATCTTCTACATTTCTGCACTGCTCATCTAAAAATATTTGTGAGATCTGGTATGTTTTGTACATTAGAAATGGTATTTTTAACTTAAGTCAATTGTCATTGCATTTTAGGTAGCATTGGTACATATAATTTTTTTAAAGATTTATTTATTTATTCATACAGAATTGGGATACAGGCCAGAGACGCAGAGGCTGAGAGAATTCACCAGAGGCAGAGTGGGGAGCAGAACAGGCAGATGGACAAAATACACTGCTGAGGGGAGCAGCAGGCGGGTCAGGAGAGGTCTGCCACGCCATGTGGTCACCTCCGGGGCAAGTGGGGATCGAACTCATGCGGAAGTGGCTTAAGCTTCTTAGTGCTATGTTTTAACCCGCTGCACCACCAGGGAGGGCCTAAATATAATTTTAAATTCATTCTTCTCTTAAGGTATTGGTGGCAAAAGATGGTTCACAGCTGTTCTCCTACCAGATTGGGAATACTGCCTTAAGTGCAAAATTACATTGTAATTAGGTGGCTCCTTCAAGCATGGTTAGTGACAGAATGAAATGTACCAAAGGAAAGCAGCATATACTTATAGATGCCAAGTAATGGAATATCTGGCCTTGGACTATTATTGTTACTAGTGAGGTGCCCCACTATGCCTGAGTTTGTTAACTTTGTGCCCTAGTTTTGTTCAAAGCTTTGTTTACCCTTGTTTTCTGCATTAGATAAAAGTATGTCCTGACACATTTGTAAGTCCTAGTGAATGACTATGGAGTTAAAAAACCAGTATAATTCCAGATGAAAATGAGAAGTAACAGAAGTTGTGAGACTTTCTCCCATTCAGAATAACTCTACCTTGCCTCTGACTACACAAAAGTTATTGAGCCTGTCTGGCCTTTGGTCAGTCCAGTTTTAAGACACCTTGATGTATCAGATTGACATTTAAAGTGACACATAGCACAGGTTTCACCAGATTTGTGAACATTCATTAACTCTTACATTTGTAAATCTTACAAGTTATTGTTTGGAATCGAAACCTTCCTTCCATATGTCTAGTTATCATGCTCTTGACTTGAGCAGAGGGAATTTTCTTCCATTCACTCACTCAGTGACCTGTGAAGGTTAAGACATCCAAGGCAGCCTTTAGGAGGTACTGTGAGAGGCACTGTGCCTTGTCCCCATGTTCCTCTCTTGAATCTCTTGTGATTGTGAGCCAGTAAGGAGGTCGCTCTGTGGCAGGTACATATATTGAACCTTCTACTGTCCCCGCAGGAGATAGTCTAGCCCCAGAGCACCATGTTGAATTTTCACTTCTCTAAGTTCCTAAGTGTGATTTCATCATCTATTTGCTTGGGGATAACTTTACTAAAAGACTGAAAAACGAAAGGCCTCTTCCCCTTCCCCAGAGGTGTTTGTGCTTAAAGAGATATTCTGTGAATATTCATGGTATATTAGGCTTCTTGTTTTATGGGTGATATCTAGAGAGGCCAGCAAGATGAGCAAAGGTTGCATACTCCTTTCATGAAGGTGACAGACTCAAATCGGTGCACACAGGTGGCCAAAGAGAACAGGGAGCTGGCAACACTCCCAGTTGGAGAGTGCAGCTCGCCTGGCTTTAGAGCTGTAAGAGGGCACCCCTTGGTCAGGGTGAGAACCCCCTATGCTGCTTTCTGCCCTTCCCAACTCTTCTGGTGGTTGGCTCTGTGCCTGACTATTGCAAATAGGCATCTGCTTCAAAGGAAAGAGACAAGAGACTCAGCACACTTTCAAGTCTCCCTAAGACTCTTGACTGTTTACTACTCTACACTACTCTACAGCTCTTTTTTTTTTTTTTTTTAAAGATTTATTTGTGCATACAGAACTGGGGTACAGGCCAGAGGCTCAGGGGCGGCGAGAGGCTTCGCCAGAGACAGAGTGGGGAGCAGAACAGGCAGATTGAGAAAGTACACTGCTGAGGGGAGCAGCGGGTGGGTCAGGAGAGGTCTGCTGCGCTATGTGGGTCACCTCCAGGGTGAGGATCGAACTCATTCGGAAGTGGTTTTAGCTTCTCAGTGCTGTGCTTTAACCCACTGAGCCATCAGGGAGGGCCTCTACAGCTCTTTTAAACATAAATCTTCACATAGGAAGATTTATAGCTAGCTTTTAAGTATACAGTATATTTTGAACATAAACTAGGATAGATTTCCTGTTCTCTTGCATGGTCATCATACATGTAATGTTTCATTGTGTGGGTATATAATTTATATTGCTCCCAGTGATGGATGTTTGCACTTTTGCCATTACAGTGCCTAAATACATAAAAATCTTTATACAGACATGTAGCTTTATGCTCTTAATTGGGTAAATTTAAAAGTGAAAACAGGGTCAAAGGATATTAAATGTTAATAGATACTGCCAAAAAAATAAAGAACCAGTTTCTAAGGGCATCGTTTAATCTTGGTCCACACAGCTTGTTTTTAAAAAATAAGCTACCACTTATGAGGCCACAGTATAAATTTCACTCTTAAACCTTTCTCCCCTGGCAGGTGGGCATCAACTACCAGCCCCCCACCGTGGTCCCTGGGGGAGACCTGGCCAAGGTGCAGCGGGCTGTGTGCATGCTGAGCAACACCACTGCCATCGCCGAGGCCTGGGCCCGCCTGGACCACAAGTTTGATCTCATGTATGCCAAGCGAGCCTTTGTGCACTGGTATGTGGGGGAAGGCATGGAGGAAGGGGAGTTTTCCGAGGCCCGGGAGGACCTGGCAGCTCTGGAGAAAGATTATGAAGAGGTGGGTGTGGATTCCGTGGAAGCAGAGGCCGAAGAAGGGGAAGAATACTGAATCGAAGAATGTGGCTGGCAGCCATCCCTTTGCATCCTCCCCACTATAACAAGATGTTTACCTATTAAAGTTTCTATATTGAGGCCATCTCTGTTACCTATGCTTCACATTGACAAAATTTCCCATCCAGATATCTGCCTTTTCCAAGTGAATTTCCAGGGAAAAGATACTTCTTTCCTCTCAGAAATAATTATGTACACTTTGACTCCCCCCGCCCCCAAAAAACTTAAAATGGCATGGCTGAGTGAATTAAGAAAAATTGCTTTATTTTTAATTCAAACATTCTTAGATCCTTCTCAATGTTCTTTGGAGAACTGTAACCTGGTTGGCTTTTTCTGTAGGCGGCAAAGCTGTTTTCACCACTTTTGGGAGGGGTCAAGGAGGCAGCCACCGTCCCGCCCTCTCCACCCCCCCTTAATTCCTCTACACAAACTTAATTCCTAACACCTTTTCAAAGGTCTTTATACTCTGTCCCATCTGGAGATAAACTTCTGCACAACACGTTTTTCCAAAATAAAGTGGCCACTGCTCAGCCTTCCCATTAGAGGCACCTCTTCGCGTGTAGGCTTCGAGCACTGGGTTTTGGCAGGTTCGTTTGGTCACGCGTGGCGGCACCTTTTTGAGGAAGTTTCTTGCCGCAGGGGTAGGCGTGGGGCGTATGCGGGGGCGTGGCGCCACCGAGGGCGGCCGCTAGTTCCGCGGAGCGGAGAGGAAAAGGGGCGGCAGCAGTCGTTCAAGGAACCTGGGACCAGGGCGGGGCTGGGACCCAGCGCCCGCCGCGTCGAGGGCGCGCCCCGCCTCCGGGCGGCAGGCTCGCGCTTCCGAGTTTCTATGGTATCGACTTCCGCCGCGCGCCACTCCTCGCGAGACTTCGGCGGCGCAGCAATGGCGAGACGTGAGTACAGCTGAGTGGAGGCTGGAGGACGGGGCTGGGACGCGGCGCGGGTGAGAGCGGGTCGGATGAGACCCCGTAGGTCAGGGCCGCCTGGCGCGGAGCCGCGGCAGGGGGCGCGAGGTGCTTGGGGCTGCGAAGGCAGCCCGCGACCAAGCTCCCGCCTCTTCCCCAGATGCCGCGTCACTGCTCCGCCGCCGGCTGCTGCACACGGGACACACGCGAAACACGCAACCGCGGGATCTCCTTCCACAGGTCAGCGCGCGTGCGTGCTGGGCGCGAAGGTTCGCGCGCGCATGCTCCGGTTTAGCCTGCGTGGTGGAGACCGCCTGTGCCTGCGCCCTTTGGTTGGGGCAAGCCACGGACGGGGGTGGTGAGAGGGTGAGGGGGGCGGGCCTGGTGGGCCGTGCCTAGAGGGAAAAGGGAGCCGCGGAAGACCCACTGCTCTCTGACGCTTATCTGCCAAAGGAAGTGGTGCGGGGGGGAGGGGAGGGGAGGAAATTCCTTTCCTTTTTGAGGCCTGTTTACTTTTATGTGCCTAGGCGGGTGGACAGAGCCATTTCTTCCCATTAGGGGAGCTTGGGCAACATGAACCAGGGCTGCAGGCAGTCTGGCGCTCAGGCTTGTGACTTTGCAGACTTCCCAAGAAAGACAACCCAAGGCGAGGCTTGTGGCTGGCCAATTGCCAGCGGCTGGACCCCAGCGGCCAGGGCCTGTGGGACCCAGCTTCTGAGTACATCTACTTCTGCTCCAAACACTTCGAAGACAACTGCTTTGAACTAGTGGGCATCAGGTGAGCCTCCTCTACGGGCAGCATTGGGGCAGTGGCCATTCAGGGACAGCTGTAGGGCCCAAAGAAGGTGAAGAAATCCCTGGAGTAGATGGCTCCATGACAGTCTGCCAGGCAGACCTCGTTCTAAGGGTCACTGCATCTTCCCAGCCCCACACCGTAACTTTCTCATCTAATAAACTCACCCTTTCAGGATTACTGCTCCAGACACAAGAGAAAACACCTGCCTTTCCAGAGGGTGTTTCTTAGATTGCCGGCCCTCCCAGCACGTACATAAAATAATTCTGGTCTCCATGAAAGCTGGTTAACCCAGTTGTGCTGGTGGAGCCTTTCTACCCACCTTAACTTTGGGAGAAGAGTTTGGTGTAACTCTCCCTAATTTGGTATTCTCCACACTAATTGTCTGCAATATGCTTTCCCATCGCCCACAGAGCTAGTACTGGGGAGCCCACCTCAGGGTGCTGGAAGCATGATGGCTCCAAGCCCCTGGCACGTCAGCCTGGGTTGTCAGCACTTGCTCTCCATCTCATCCAGGCTGCTTTCACTTACAGTGGGTATCACAGACTGAAGGAAGGGGCAGTTCCCACAATATTTGAGTCTTTCTCCAAGTTACATCGGACAGCCAAGACCAAGGGGCACAGTTACCCAGCTGGCCCCCCCAACATCAGTCGGCTCCAGCGAGGCAGGAAGCGGTATGTGCTTTGGCTGGAGGAGGGGAGGTGTAGTGGTGCAGGGGGGCAGTACTGCCTCCCTTTAAGTCTTTGGAACTGGACTTTTGGGTGTCTGCCAGCAGCCTTGCTGGCTAGGGTTCTAATTTTGTGGAGCAGATTTAGGTGGGTAAGTGAAGTAGAGCTTAATAAGCTCTTGACCCAGCCTGCCAGTCTCTCTCTCCCTTCCCAGCTGCACTGAGGGCCCAGGGCCCATGACTCCATTTTCTCCACCCCCTCCTGCTGATGTTACCTGCTTTCCTGTGGAAGAGGCCTCCGCACCTGCCGCTTTGCCTGCCTCCCCTGCTGGAAGACTGGAACCTGGCCTCAGCAGCCCCTTCTCAGACCTCCTTGGGCCCCTGGGTGCCCAGGCAGATGAAGCAGGCTGCAGTGCCCAGCCCTTGCCAGAGCGGGAGCCAGAGAGGCAACCAGTTCCTCTGGAACCTCGGCCGGTCTCACCCTCCGCTTACATGCTGCGCCTGCCACCACCTGCCGGAGCCTACATCCAAAATGAGCACAGCTACCAGGTGGGCAGTGCCCTGCTCTGGAAGCGGCGGGCTGAGGCTGCACTTGATGCCTTGGACAAGGCCCAGCGCCAACTACAGGCCTGCAAGCGGCGAGAGCAACGGCTAAGGCTGCGGCTGACTAAGCTGCAGCAGGAGCGAGCTCGGGAGAAGCGGGCGCAGGCAGATGCCCGCCAGACTCTGAAGGAGCATGTACAGGACTTTGCCATGCAGCTCAGCAGCAGCATGGCCTAAGTGAGGAGGTGCCTATCAGGACTGTCGCCGCCTCTACCCTCAGAATCCATCTGAAAAGGGACCTGACCTAAGATGCATCACCAGATCCACCAGATGCCATAATAAAGTGGATTCTAGAAGGAGCCCTGATAATCTGACTCAGCTGGGGGGTTTGGGCTCCTTCCCTGGGTACCAGGCTTATTCCCTCAGAAAGTAGTTATAGCCCCTGAGGAATCAGACCTTGGAGTCATCTTGACTGTGGAGAGCAGAAGCATAAGCCACCATTGAGGCTTATAAGGGGACAAGATGGTAAGAGTAGTTGTCCCAGGAACAGGAACGGGTACCCTTTTCTTGGCACCCCGACTTCAGCATGTTAGTGCCTTTGAGACACTCATGAAACCTGAGCCAGACTGTTCCTTTTCAGTGACACAATAGGCTTCCATCCACAGGCCCACTTTACCCAAGGATTAATAGCGCAGCTGTGCTGCAGACCTGGCCAGTCCCCTGCTGACCACCAGGCCTATCTCTGAAATAGAGGGACAAGGAAGAAAATCATTGTCCTCCTGGGGCTGTTGTGCTAGACAAGTAGTGAGGGCCCAACAAATGACATTTCTAGCTCATGGAGCTCTGGGAATAACTGATGGGGGGAGGAAGGTAGGGAATGAGGCAATCAAAGCCTGTCTTCAGTCTCATTTTTCTTTTACTCCACTGGAATCTGGAAGGCCTCACTGCATCTGCCACATGCAGCATTCTCATTGTGAGGGGTTTTAACTGTACATGTGAGCTTTCTGCTGGACTTGTTCACGACAGTCCCAAAAGCACAAATTCTTTCAGTCATGGAAACTGCCACACATCTTGACGTTTGTTTTGGGGGCCTATGGTATGTAACTTTTATTTACGTCACATCTAAAAGGTCTGCTAGGGGACAGAACTTGGCAGATGCTTACCTTGCACCAGGTTACTTCCTAGCTTTTGGTAGCCTCACGCTGGGCTCCCCTTTGCCTAAAGGTGCTCAGCTGTCCCCAGGATACCTGGTCCACTTGCATGTGGCACCCAGGGCTCTTGAGCAGGGGCATGAAATGGCAGGTGCATTTGCATGGGCACAGCCAAAAGGGAGCAACAAGCTCTAAGGCCAGAAAGATCATTTTCCCAGAGTAGCTTCCTGGCAGTCAGAGTAGAAAGGCCCCTGGGGTTCTTGTAACCAGAAGGAAGCAGAACAGTGCCTTCACATCGGAGTGGGCTCCGATGTGGTAGTGAAGGATGCAGTGGTCTGGACTCAAGCTTCCCAGCCTGAGTACAGCACAGAGCAAGGCAGCCAGATGGAGCCAGGAGAGCAGACCCCAAGTTTATAAGGTTTGCCTGATGGGAGAGGCTGCTGGGCTTCTCCTCCCCCACCCATTGTACTGAGCACCCAAGTCAGGAACACTCCACCCTGAGACCATGGAGAGAAAACCAGGCAAGGTTGGTTCTCTGATCCCAAGCCGTGGGTGGTCTGGCCTGTCCTTGGCTGCAAGAGGGCCAAAGGGCTGAAGGCCAGAGCCCCACTGGGGACTATATTAGCCAAGTGTGTAGTAGGTGACACAACTGTAGCTTTAATGGAGTCATTCTATGACAGAATGCTTAGGAACAGATGAAGGACAGGAGGAGCTGGCAGCATCTCCACTGACTTCTCCCTAGCCCACCCTGGGCCCTGACCTGATGGTTCCACATGGTGGCATTCCCCAGTGCCTTTGGAAACTAGGCCTAACTCAAGTCAGACTCCATTTGCCTACACTATTGCCCATGCACAAGATCTCAAAGGCAGGCGAGGCCTGTACACCAACCTGAACAAAGGGGTTACATGTGGCCTTGGACAGGACCCAGTAGCCAGATCTGTAAGCCCAAGCCAAGACCCTGCTTGGTTAAGGCTCAAAATCAACTCCTTAGCTTGTCTCTCCCACTGCTGGCCCTGGTCAGAACCCCTATTCCTGCTGTCCCCCATCAGTGAGTCCTGGCTTCCTACCCATACCCCCTTTCCAGGCTAGGGAGGGAAAGGGGGAGAAGGGAGCCTTGTTCCATCGTCTGCTCTGTGAGACTTGTCTTCAGCTGTGGAGTGGGACATTTGCAGCCTCCCACAACCCTCAACTCCCTTCAGAGGCTCTGCGCTGCCACAAGCCTGAACCTGACCATCATAGTCTTTGCAGTGGACAGGGCAGGGGAAGGCATGGTTATTGTCCACATAGGAGCTGGCACCACATGGGCCCTCAAATGTCAGCACCCAGCTCTGCACACTGCTTGTCAGAGATGTGGGAGGCCAGGGAATCTATGATATCAAGTAGTAGCTGCTGGCTCAGCGAACGTAACGTGGGCAGCTTGGAGACCTGCAGGAGACAACCAAAAGGCCAAAACATGGAACCAGATCCAGAATGGGCTGTGGGGTCTTCTGGGGACCCAACCATCTCTGGGCTTGGGCTGACTCCAAGAAGGGGGTGAAGAGTAGCCAGTGGTGGGTGACTGCTCGGTTATCCCCTCAGTCCCCTGCCACAAAAGGCCAAATTCCATACATCCCACCACCCTCTGACCAAGGCCACCCCCAAGGGGTTGGGCCCTAAACACCAGGTGGTCGAGCATCAGCTGGGAGAGCCCTGACCTTAGTGAACTGGTGCACAATGATGTGCAGGCAGTGCCGCTTCATGTCCAGAGCCTGCGTCTTGTCAGCTGCCTCCAGGATCTGGAATAGAAAACTCTTGAGACACTGCCCCACCTCTCACCCAACCACCCAGGTGCCAATGGCCAGTGGGTGCCAGATGAGCTACCTGCAGCACGTTCTGCACTGTCACATTCATCTCCAGGTTCTGCTTGCAGTATGCCTGCAGCCGGTTGTTGTAGAAGCCATAGTAGTAGGGGGCCGAGAACAGGTAGCTAGGGTCTGGTTAAGGAGCTGGCAGCCAAAGGAGCCTCCACCCACCTGCCTTTCCCCTGAAGGCTTACTGCTGGAAACCTCCCCACACCTGGGGTAGAGAAGACTAGAGAGATTGGCTGCCACCACCTGTTGGCACAAAGCAGGGGACCCCCACCACAGGGTTTGACACAGGACACTGGCAGGACACTTAACTCTGAATAGTCTCTGTAGGGGGTAAAGGCCCTGTTCAAGAGCCAAAGAAACCCTCTGAGCCCTCTCCCAGGATATGCCCAGATGTGCATGCAGAGCTGTTCCTTAGCCTCACAGCTTCTGAAAGGCATCCTCCACAGTGTGCTCACACCCTGACTATGCATGTCGTGAGGAGTCATGCCACGTCCATCTGCTCACCTATCACACAGACACAACCCCTTTCCAGTCATGAGAGTCAAGGACCCAACCAACCCTCCTATCTGTACACCCCTCCATGTCGGTGGTCAGCTGCATCAGAGAACGCTGAGAGCACTGGAAATCGCCCACCTAGAAGGGAGCGGCTGACTCCTAAATTACCCAAAGTGGGTGCTGGGACCACTAGCTGTGATCCAGGATTGCCCTCAGAGGTGAGGATGCAGCGAGTCTTCAGGCGGCATGTTGACCTCTCCATAGTAGATGTAGCGCAGCATGGATTCAAAGGCCTGCCTGCTGGGCACCATCTCCCCAATGGAGATGTTCACCTGCCCATCCTCAGGCATGAAGGACCGGAACATGGCTTCAAAGTAGCTGCAGATGGGATGGCAGATACTCAGCTTTCAGGGGAAACAGCCAACACCTGGGACCCATTCTGCCCTGTAGTCACACCTCTCACCCACCTGGAACGGGCGGCCAGGATGGCTTTGTGCGCTGGCCGAGGGTGCCCATCCAGCAGCAGTGTGATGTCACAGAACTCCGCGCCTGCCCCCTCCAGGTATGCCTTCATGTCCTGGATCAGGGACGTGCCTGGGGAGGGCACATGGAGAGGGGCCCTGAGCAGGCTCTCCCTGTTCCCTGCCAGACCCTCGGCCAAAGGACAGCCTCTGACACCAAATTCAGGCCCTGCTTTCTGCACATCTATCCATGCTGCTATCCTCACTATAGTCCTAAGGCATCACCAGGCCCTATTCTCTTCTCTCCATTCTGAACATGCCCCCCAGTATCTGATAGTCTCCAAAATTCATCCCACTGACACACTCTTGGGGCATAGGCCCCAGGAGGCCTGAGGTCTGCAGTCTCTTCTTACCCCTCCCCAGGCCCAGCAGTGGGTGTACTGGCGTCTAATCACTGGGTCAGTGAGTTCATCACTCACTTCAGAAGCCCTCAGACCTGCCATCTGAGGCAGGGAAAGGACCCTTGCCAGCGAGGTGCCCTTTGTCCACTATGGAAAGCCCTATGAATGTGTCTGCTCTGTCTGCTCTCTTCATGTCTCCCTGAAACTCCAACCCAGGCTTGGCAGTTCTTCCTTGGCTCTCAGTTCTCTGCCCCAGATGAACCTCACCCAGGCTGACTTGGGGACGGGAAACAGACTTCCTACCAATGTCCACAGGCTGGTCTGAAGGTGTGCGGGGAGGCGGCTGCTGCTTCCGCCGCACAATCTCCACAATCAGTGGGGAGGAGAGGCGCTCAAACTCCTTCATCATGATCACCTGGTTGAAGTGGGACTCCTTCACCACGAAGTTCAGGCAGTGCTCCTGGGACAGACAGGAGGGGTGGGCAGGCAGGGTTAGGCCTCAAACCCACGGGTCACAGGGGAGGCAGAGGTTTTCGTGCAAACCGCCCCGCACCTTGAGCTGGCCCAGCTGCAGTCTGGCGGCGCTCTCACACACAACTAGCACATTCTGCAGGTCCACAGAGGCCTCGATGTACTGCCGACACAACTGCTCTAGGCGGCACAGCTGAAAGCTCAGGGCCAGCTTGTACACATCCATGATGAGTAGCACGTCCTCCACGTGGCCTGCACAGAAGAGGCCCCTGAGCCTCATCCACCCCTGGAGAGCAGAACGAGGGTGGGAGGGACCAGGGCTCCCTCTGTGGACAAGCGTGCCTCCAGTTGACAGACAGGAGCAAAGCTTAGGGGCCTAGGCAGTGACTCAGCCACACAGGTGGCTGTGGCCTCGAGTCTCAGGTTGCCCACCACCCTGGCCAGGCAAGGCAGCCCACTACCCCGGCCACACACCCCAGCCCAGACCCACAGTGACCTCACTCCAGGCAGACCTTTCCTCGGGTATTTGATCTTGTCGGTGTAGAGAAACTGCATGAGCACCTCAAAGGGCCGGGCTTCGGCCTCAGGGATCGCCACACGCAGCAGGGGCAGCTGGGTCCCACTCACAACTGCACCAGAGGTCTCCCTGGGAGCCAGCACCGCCTCCTCTTCCAGTTTCTGTAGGGAGAGGCAGAGCTCAAGGGCGCGGTGATGGACGCAGCTGTCTGGGGTGGGAGGGGGTGCAGGAAGGGAGACAGGCCCCTCACCTGTGTCAGCCGCTCCCGCACCTGCACGATCTTCCTGCGGAGCCAGCGGCTTCGAGCTGTGACAATGGCCATGTGGCCCTGCACACACTCTTCCTTCTGCAGCAACAGAATGACACCTTGATGGAGGGCTTGGGGGCCTTGCCCAGGAGACAGAGACCCATTCTGCCTGGCAGGGGCATAGTCCCCATGCCACAGCATAGCAGGTAGGCAGGGTGTGGGAAGGGCACCCACCTCACCCAGCACGAACTCCACATCACAGAACTGGCGGCTCTCCCACAGCCGTCCATAATCTTCATGCAATGTGCACTTGGGGTAACAGGAAAACTGCAGGAGGAGACTCCAGTGTTGCCAAAGGAAGCCACTGATGACCCTATTCTTGTCCTCCTTCAGGTATCCCAGAGCCCCTGGATCAAGCCCAGCTCCCTTAATTGACCCTGCTATGAGGCCCCAAGCCACCTACTTCACCTGCCCTGCCCTGCAATGAGGTTCCTCAGGCAGCTCTCAGTCTAGATCCTCCACCCCACCTGACAGCCTTCTCAGAAAAGTAGGTTTGCCCTGGCTTTGGGCACCCATGAATAAGCCTGCCCTCACCCCTTGGGCTTTCCATCATCGGGGTCCCATCCACCATGGCTGGCCCCACTGTGGAGTCAATCCAGGAAGTAGCCACTGGCCTGTCCCGTGTGTCCATGAGTCCCACCTGGAACCTGTACATCTCCCCACTGCGGATGTTGTTGTCCACGGTGCCCCCGAAGATGTACATGGCATCTGAGATCACAGCAGCTGCATGGAAGAGCCTCCCACTGGGCAGCTGGGTGGAGAGGGGAACAGTTCAGCAAGGTGGGGCGGTCTCCAACCACCTAGCATGGTTGTGGGCAGGGACATGGACTCTGCAAGAGTCTTGCGGGAGGGACCAGAGAACAGGGCCCCAGGCCCAGCTGCAGGAGACAGGATCTATATGAGCAAGTGGGCAGGACCAGTCCCTGTGGATCCACAAAGTGGACAGAGCAAGCACTTGGTCTCAAATGCTGCACCAGCATGGCTGGCAGCTGGCCCCTGCCTCACTTTCTGTGAGCCCCTAATAAGTACTTCTCTGAGCCTCAGTCTCACCCCCACCTCCAACCCTGTGAGAAGGGTCAACACAGGACCAACTTCAGGGGGTGATAAAACTGTAGTGAGGGTGCTGGCCCTTACCTCTGAGGCAGGTGGAGCAGGCTGCTTGGCTGTAGTGGTGCCAAAGTCCAGGCCAAACACATCTCGGGATTTCTTGAAGCCAACCCGTTCCTCAGAGGCCAGGGAAGGTGCCTCCTCAGAAGCAGATGCTCGCTCTGGTACCTCAGCCCCACCAACCTGTGAGCAGAGACATGCAGGCATGGGAGCCATCCACAAGGGCCTGGAGATATCCTAAGACCACCCTGCTTCAGAGCCCCAGAGCCCTGCTGGGGGTGGAGGGATGTTAGGAGAAGTCAGAGTCACAGTACGTGGTGCTGGGTACATGCAGGCTGAGAGGGAGCTGTGTGCCAGGCAGAAGTCAAGGTGGGCTTCTCAGGAAATGTCCTCAGCACAGTGCTGAGGAAATGAAGTATTAAAATGAAGGAGTAAAAGCCCATGGGGCTGCAAGGTGGAGAATGGGTCAGAGGGGTCCAGGGTCAGGGCAATCAGAGTTAAGGACCATGGGCTTCCTGGCCTTTCTCTTGCTGACCATAGGATATCCTTCTGAAGCTGTGAAGAGCTAGCTGGGGGAAGACAGAGCAGGCAGGAGTCACTGGTGTCCAGCTGCAGTTCAGGACCCCACTGGCCCTGGGCCCTGGTTACTAGCAGCTGCCCTGGATGGATACAGGGAAGTCCTGGTAGCCCCTAGCAGTGAAGAGGCCCATGGGGTGGGGCTGGCCCACCACAGCTTGGAAGTGCTCACCTCACTGTCCGAACTGGGCTGGACGACCTCCCAGGTCTGGAAATCCACATCATAGCAATGCAGCTCGTTGGGCAATGTGTTGTCAGCCGCTCCCCCAAATACATAAAGGTGGCGGTCAAAGGCCACCATGGTGTGTCCATAGCGGCGCTGGGGAGGTGGGGGCGAGCCGCGGAGCAGATGCTCAGTAGGGATGCGTGTCCACCTGGAGGCACATGACAGTGAACCAGTGCCAGGTGGGGGTTCCTGCTCCCCTAAGGCCTCCACTGGGCTCTGAGGCTCCCCCCACTGGGAAGAGTCTCATGGCCCTGGGGAAACCAGCCCAGACAGAGGGGGAGGCTTTAGCCTGTATGCCCAGGATCCCTCTTCCCACCTAACTCTGGCACCATTTCTGTGTGGCTCCACATTGCCCACCATGGGGTCCTGCCCGAGGCCCCTCCCACTCCTCTGGCAGGCAGTAGTGGCAGGGCTGGAGGGGTGGCATCACTGGCAAGCCATCCTATTCTTAAACAGACTTACTCATCCCACCAGGTGGGACAATCCCCCAGGGAGGCCACCCAGACCCCTTTTCCTACTGCTGCTCCTGTAACTCTCTGGGCTGTCTAAACACTCCCTAGCACTTCCAGCAAATGTCCCCTTTGCTAAATCTAGTAAGAACCTGACTGGACAGGGTGATACCCTCTGACTCAGTGTAGACCCTGCTGCCCCCATATGCTGAGCTCAACATGTGCCTGAGTGGCACTGCCAGGAGATCTCCAGGTGGCTGAGGCTGTGGAATGCTCTCTGGGGGTGGGTGCTCTCCAAGACATCCAGCACTAAACACCCCACACCAGAGGCTTCTGTGTGCTCCCCACCTCTGTTTTGTAGAGGCAAAATGTAGGGATAAAGGACTGGGCAGCAAGCTGCCTGGAGGACTGAGGAAGCAAATTTTCCCTTGCCAGAGGTGACACATGCCAGCGTCACTCCATGGGGCCCCTTTACTTCTAGGGGCAATCAGAACTTCCCTATACCCATCGAGGGCAACTGCTGGTAACTGTCGCCCTGGTTTTCTTCCACCTCCATCCACTCCACTCCCATCCACTGCATCCCCAGCTGCAACTCTGTATGCAGCTCTGACCTGGGCCCTTCAACTCTCTTGTAAGCCCAATATGGCTTCCTTGGCCGGCTCCACAGGTGACATTCCCACCCCTAGGCAGCCCTCTGGCTCCAGATCATCACCAATACCAGTGCCTCCCTAAAAAAATCCCTCACAGGTCAATTACCTGTTACCTGGCCAGAGCTTATGTCTGATCCAAACCTTCCCAGAGGCCTGTCTGGGCATACCTGGCCTCTGCTTCCAAACTTTTCCACTCACTTCTCTAGAGGTCTACTCTCTACTCTGAGTCCTCTGTCCTGCCCACTGCCCTGAGGACTGAGGCTAGGTTGGAGCAGCTGGCCTGAGTGTAGTATGGCTCACCTCTCAGGACTGGTTGCCCTGGGATAGGACAGTTGGCTGGGTCTAAGTGGCCACCTGTCTGCCCTTTCCCTTCCCAGCCAACCCCCTGGCCTCTAGAACAGCTTCAAGTCTCCTCCCCAACTCCCCTGGCCAACTGTCAAAACTCCTGTTTCCTCTCCTCCACTCACCCCCTGAGCTAAAGGCTAGCTCATGGCACCTTCAGGGCTCAGTCCCCATAGCAGCCAAGTAAGAGAATGGAGGTTCTGAGGCCCACATACCTCCCAGGTCTGCCATCAGGGGAGATCTATGCTGGGCACATTTGGTATCGTGGAGCTAACTAAGCCACTCATGGGCAGGGGACAAACTGTGGCCCTCAAAGAGGGGTACTGCCCAGGCCTTTTCTTGCTGAATGCAACCACACTCCAATGGACCTGTGGGGGGGAGGGGATCTTGCCCACTCTCTACGAAGGGTAGCTTGCCCTACCATATGCACCAGTGGGAAAGGGCAGTGTCAGAGGCAGGCACTGGGGGCTGACAAAGGACCCAACATAGGGTACTCACGTCTTGTCTTTGAATTCAAACTGGAAGAGGTTGTTGGTTATCTTGGCTCCACTCTGCCCTGAGAACACGAACATCTTGTCCCTACACACAGCCACAGGGAAGTTGCAGCAGGAGGGCGGAATCTCGCCACTCTGGGCCACCTGGGGGCAGGGGGAGGCAGCTCAGCACAGGGTCTGCCTGACCCTGTTCACAAGGCTGCACACTTACATTGCTGAACCATTTTTATCTGTGAAACTATGTGAATGAGGGTACATACATTAAGTTTTGCACAAGTTTAAAGCCTCAATTCACTCACCTAAATGGGTCTAGTTTTAACATTGAGGTTTAAAATCATCATGACAGAGAAGAAGAACCCCAAAGGGAAAGATATGGAGCAATCTGAAAGACTACCCAGAAACAGAAGTGGACGGGACCTTAAGGAGCACTCCCTATTTCAAATAAGGGTGGACTATACCCAAACTGCTCCAGGCAGCCATGATGTTCTGCCCATCCAAAGCAAAGAGCCTTTATCACTGGGTAACTGCCAGTGGAACAGTGATGGCTGGGCAGGTCAGGGGAGAGCCAGGCCAAGGCCTGACTTTGGTAAGCCCCACCCAGGCCCCTGCACCCTCACCTCCTCCCAGCATGTAAGCTCCCGGTCCTGAAGGCCAATGGTCCACATGTCGTTCAACCTGCATTAGGACAGAGAAGTCAGGATGCTCAGTGGGGTCTGGGCACCAGGCTGGGCCTGGTCCTGGCCAGAAGGGATGGCTCCTAGGAAGAACATTTCAGGCCACCATGTAGGACTCTGGCCAGAGGCCTAAGGCACGGCCATGAGATGGGAGCTTTAGCTGGAGGAAAGGAAGGAGGCTGTACCAAGTTAACTGCTGTGCCAGGTCCCCTACTCGGCCAGGACAGGAACAAAAGGCCTCATGCACGACATCCATGGCAGGGCCAAATACTCTCTTGGCCCACTCTCCAGGACTGGGAGAAGACTGTAGAGACATCACTAAAAGAAACCATCCCTAATAGTACGACATTACAATTTTCTGTTGAACTGAAGTTTGGGGGAATGAATACATGCTACATTTGTAATAATAAAAAAAAAAAAGTCAAATTTCTCAAACAAGCAGAAAACGCCTATTATACAGAAAACAAGAACTCTATGTTGCACTCCATAGCAGAGGGGCTAGGTCTGAGCCCTACTGCTGCTACCCACCTGCCCACATAACTCTCAGGGTCACTCTTTACTATGGGCCTGAGTTTTTTCACCCCAGCAATTCCAGAGGCTACCTCCACCCTTCCCCAAGTCTAATGATACTCAGCTATAGTGCCTCTGCCCTGTACACTCTCAGGCAGCTTGAGTGAACATGGGCCACATTTTCCACTCCTTCAGAGTCCCTCTGTGTGGGGGAAGCAAGTGGTGACTCCATTCACCCCCATCCTCTACATCTTTCTCTTCCCCATACTCCTTGTCTATATACCCACCTCCCTAGAAAATGCCACCCCAGCTGCACCCTCCCAGCTGGCCAGGAAGGCCTGCTCAGAGGCTGGGTACATGGACCAGGCTACCTACCTGGCATTGCCATCATAGCCAGCAAAGATCCATAGTTTGTCACTGTACACTGTGGCTCCATGGGCTGACCTGGCGACTGGCAACCTGGAATATGAGGACTGAGTAAGCAGAGAGGTCTCCCAGAGAAGACCAAAGCCTCACAGCCCAAGGCTTGGGGACGAGGCACTGCAAGTACCACTGGGACTGCCAGGCCCACATCTGCTGACACCGGGGCCCTTGGAATAAGTGAGAGCTGAGCTTATGAGGCCCTTGGCAGCTGCCGAAGGCTTCAAACAGCCATACATGCACAGAGTCTTTTCTCAGCTGCCACCAAGCTATCAAAGGGTGTTTCTGCAAAGCAGGATCACTGGAGCGCTCATCTATAGGACATTTGGGTGCTTATCATTTCCCAAAAGGGAATCTGAGGTCAAGCCGGAAGGAAGTCAAGAACAGGTGCCACTGGCAGCACCAACTACCTATTTCTGACCCCCATGTGCCCCCAGGCTTCTCTAAGCCTCAGGTCCTTCATATGTGATGCAAGATCTGAAACCAGGCTTGGTGCCACCCAAGACCTAACACGGTAGTCATCAGAACAACCCCGGAAGTTTCCACAAAAGTCTCTCACCGTCCCTCAATTTTCCATTCTGTCCACTGGCCAGTTGCAAACTTGTATTCAAAGAGGTCATTTTTATTCTTCAAGTTGGAATTGGAATAAATGTCCCCAGTGTAGCCCCCTGAATGGAGAGAGCAAGAAGTTGTCATACCAAAGACAGTATTTTATTTTTCAAACCTGGGAGGTGGGGCAGAATTTGACCCCTTATAAAAATGCATTCTGGAATTCACTCCACAAACTTTTGGGGGTACATCCAACACATACCTGCCTCTGTGTTGGTACCTGGTTCCTACCACTGGTGGGGTGGGAGTTCTAATCCTGGAGGGTCCAGGACAGTTAGAAAAAAGTCCCACAGGGCCATCTATCCAAGAGCCCTCTCCCATCACAGGAGCTCAAATAATGTGGTCAGACAATGCTGAGGGCCGGGTGAAGAGGCTGCAAAGAAGAGTCATGAGCCTGAGGCCCAGGAGATGAGAGGCAACTCACCAAAGACAAACATGCTGCTCCCGTAGACGACAGCCGAGTGATGGTAGCGGGGGGCTGGTGGGGTCCCAGTGGTAAAAGCCCTGCAGTGGCATAAGAGCAGTGGGTGTCAGTGGAGTAAGCTGTGTGGCCCACACCCAATAGGGCAGCCACCCTCAAGTCTCCTTTTACTTTTATATTTAAGAGGTAATACCTACTTTTTTATAGACACTTCCCAAAAATTACCAATCAAGAAAAAACAAAACCAGCACTAAAACTCATATGTAATCCCTTTGCCAGAAGCCCCTGTTCATAGTGTGAGCTGTCCCCACACCCTTCCTATTCATATGTATATCTCAGAGTAATTTTTTACAATGGAATCATGTGGTAGAGACTTTGTCATCTTGCACTTTCTTTTGTTTGTTTGAAAGATTTATTTATTTATGCACACAAGAACTGGGGTACAGGCCAGAGATGCAAGGGGTGAGAAGACTCACCAGAGACTGAGTAGGGAGCAGAACAGGTGGGTTGACTGAAATACACTGCAGAGGGGAGCAGCGGGCACTGCTGAGAGCATCGCAGTGTAATGCTTTAACCCCTGTGCCACCAGGGAAGGCCTCATCTTGCACTTTCAGCTGCCACACAATAGTAGTTGTGTTAACTCCTTTACTTACATTAATAGATCAGCCAGAGAGAAAGTCAATAAGGAAACAACTGCCCTAAATGAGAAATATGACCAGATTAGATATACAGAGTACTCTGCCTCAAGAAAGGTGAATATACATCCCTCTCAAATGCATATGGAACATTCTTGAGGATCTACCACATATCAGGCTACAAAATAAATGTTAATAAATTCATGAAGACTGGAATAATTTCAAGTATCTCCTCTGACTACACTGGCATGAAACTATAAATCAGGCACAGAAATAAAAAGCTCAAATATGTGGAGACTGAACAACATGCTACTGAATGACTGTTGGGTTAATGAGGAAATCAAAGGAGAAATTAAAAAAGCAGACACATGAAAATGAAGGCATGAACTATCAGAACCTATGAGACACTGCAAAGACAATGGTAACAGGGAAGTTTATAGCAATATAAGCCACATCAAGAAACAAAAAAGCTCAAATAAATAACCTAACTTTATAGCATAAGGATGTAGGAAAAAAACTAATGAAGCTGAAAGCCACCAGAAGGGAGGAAATAATAAGAATTAGAGTGGAGGTAAATTAAATGAAAAAGAGAGAACAAAAGATTAGTGAAAGTAAGAGCTGGATCTTAAAAAAAAAAAAAGCTGGTTCTTTGAAAAGATACACAAAATAGACAGACCTCTAGTCATACTCAAAGAAAAAAAAGGAAACCCTAATAAATAGCATCAGAAGTGAAAGAGGAAGAGTTATAAAAGAGGAGAAGTTACAACTGACATCTCAGAAACAGAGGATCATAAAAGACTACTATAAAATACTTATGCCAATAAATTAGATAATCTAAAAGAAATGAATCACACAACTTTCCAATAATGAGTCAGAAAGAAATAGAAAACTTGAATGGATCAACTTTGGATCCAATCAAACAATTCATTCAAACAACCTACTCATTCAAACAGTTATAAGCAAAGCAACTGACATAGTAATTAAAACTCCCCAAAACACATTTTATGAGGTTAACACACCCTGTGATACACTAAAAGTAGACAAGGATATCACCCTCTCCACACACACACACAATAAGACTAGACCAATATCCTTGCTAAAAACAGATGCCAAAATCTTAGCAAATTGAATTCAATAATACATTAAAAGAATCATGTATCATGACCAAATGGGATGTATTCTGAAGATGCAAGGATGGTACCACATATGCAAATCAATCAATGTAATTCACCACATGCACACAGGGAAAAATAAAAATCAAATGATCACATCAACAGATGCAGAGAATGCACTTGACAAGATTCAATACCCATTTATGATAAAAACTCTCCCAAAAATGGGGCTAGAAGAAATATACCACAACATAATGAAGATAGCATGAGAAACCCAAAGTTAACAAATTCTCAGTGAAAAAACCTTGAAAGTTTTTTCGCTAAGACCAGATACAAGACAGACTCAATTTCACAATACTATACAACATAGTATTATCAGTCTTAGCTAGAGCAGGTAGGCAGAAGAAAGATATAAAAGGAATCCAGAGCCTCAGTGGTGGCCTAAGGGTTAAGTCTCAGCGCTATCTTCCATCCCAGGCCAGGGAAGTGACTCATATAGTGCAGCAGACCTCTCCTGACTTGCCCACTGCTCCCCTCAGCAGTGTATTTCAGTAGATTCGCCTGTTCTGCTCCCCACTCTTTCTTGTGAACCCTCTCACCCAAACTCCAAGCCTACACCCCAGTTCTTTCATGCATAAATAAATCTTTTCTTTTTCTTAAATGGAGTCAATTCTCTTAAAAAAAAAAAACAAACAAACTTAAAAATATGGGATCCAGGGCCCTCCCTAGTGGTGCAGCGGGTTAAAGTGCAACACTAAGAAGCTAAAGCCACTCGAGCATGAGTTCGATCCCCACCCTGGAGGTGATCCACATGGCACAGCAGACCTCTCCTGACCCGCCCGCTGCTCCCCTCAGCAGTGTACTTTGTCAGTCGGCCTGTTCTGCTCCCCACTGTCTCTGGTGACTCCTCTCACCACTCATGCACCTCTGGCCTTACCTCAGTTCTGCATATATAAATAAATCTTTAAAAATATATATGGAGTCCAAATTGAGAAAGAAGTGAAAGTACCACTAGTTGAAGAAGATATAATATACACAGAAAACTCTAAAGACATCACTAAAAAACTATTATAGTAAACTGTTATAGTAAAATGATAAGCTACAAATTCAACAAAGAAAAATATGTATCTCTATATGCAAACAACAAACTAGAGAGAGTAAAACAAGAAACAAGTCCATTTATAGTCCCATCAAATATTCAAATACTGTAGAATCATCTATACCCACATTCTCACAGAAGCACAGTATTTCTACTACATGGGGACAGAAATTTGATTACTGAATTAAAACCCAACTTATACTGCTTCACAGGGGCTGCTCCTTTTTAGAGCATTATACTTAAGCAATTTTTAACAAAAAATGTGTTGAGTATTCAGTGATTTTTAAAATTAATCTGCAATTATTGGCTGTATTTTAAAATCAGATGTGAGAGAAATGAAGTATAAGCTTGTGTGGCATTCCCAACACTCCCCAGGTCTGGAGGACCTGGAATCTCTGGAGGACTCTCTTGAAGCACAATTGGAAGACTGGAAACTGAATTAGATAGATCTTAATTGTCAGGGTGTGGAATAATCAACCATAGTCCATGGATTGGAAATGAAGCCCAAGATACACAGAAAAATGTTAAGAGTGGCTCTGAGCAAGGCATCCCAGTGGCAGCCACCATCTCTCCCTAAGAGCTTCCCTCTAGCTTTCCACAATGAACAAGACTTTGACTGTGATGAGCAGCACCCATCAGAGTGCTGTCATGCTACAGGAGAAAGAGCAGGGCCCTGGAGCACGGGAGCCGCCCACCTGCACCAGGAACAGTCCTTCACATCGAACCGCAAGAGGTCGTTGAGCATCGTCTTCCTGAAAGACAATTAGAGAACGGTGGATTTGGCCCAGGCCAGCTCTGCAGGGCACAGCCACCCCTCCTCTGCCCCCTACCAGGACCACAGAAATTGACAATGGAGCCTGGGGGAAAAGGGGGTGATAGAAGGAACTGTTTTGCAGGGCTTTGCCAGGACCAGGCAACCAGCTGATGCCCGAGAGACAAGAGAGGTGACTGAAAAGGAAATTCCTCAACTTGTATGGGCACCTGGGCTGCAGCAGAACAGCCTGCCTAGGTCAGAACGGGCTAACACCAAACCCTTGAGGGCCACTTGAGGACCCCTGTGTCCCCACCTCACACCAATCATGAATTTCAGTAATTTTCTTGAGACTGTGCCACCACAAATGCAGATGTTCTGATCATCCTGACACTCCTTATTGAAAATCCAGTGCACGACCACATTTAAGATATGATAGAGTAGAAAACAAAATCCATTGGCCACCAGCTAACTATTTATATAAAAGGGAAGGCAGGGTTCAATCCAACAGGACCCTGGCACATCCGACATGCCAGACCTGTCCAGGGTCGGCTGCACCGCCTCATTCAGTCTGCACCAGGTGGCCGTACTCTCCTACAACTATGGCAGAGGGGACAGACAGCCTGGGAGACAAAAACGCCTGACAAGGCCACAAGGCCAGGAAGACAGGAGCTGGGGCAGATGTGACTGCAATTCTTTCCCTGAGCTACAGCAGGGGTGTACCCAGTCAGTCTTTATAAAGTTACAACTGGAGTGAGACAAATTTGTATCCTGTTACTGAGGGGTGAATTTGTAGTAAAAATGTTTTTGCTGACTGCCACAAAGCTGTTATTCAAATAGCCAGCTCAGATCTCACCTGGAGATGTTTCCACTCACCATCCTGTGCTGGACACCAGGACTTTCCAAGTCTGGAAGATCCTCATTAAGGTTTCAATAAAGATCTGTGGGCAGATGTCTCTTGTCTATTTCATTCCTTTTTGTGATATTTATTGAACTGCCTGGATTCTGGGATACAGACCCTGTCCTCGCAGGAGAGAGGTAACAAACATCTGCATGCTTCAGGGGGCAAATAGAGCCGGTGAGGAGTACTGGAGGGAAGTGGAGTAGAGGCAACAGCTGTCAGTTGGCCTGGTGGTCAGGGAAGCCCTCAATCACAAAAACAACAGAGGGGCAGGAAAGGAAAGGGGCAAAAAGAAGGGAAGAGCCTGTGAAGGCCCAAGCAGAGGAGTACTTGATACAAGCAGAAGACAGCAGCAACGTGGTGTGGCTCAGTGCTACACAGGCTGGGGACAGAGGAGCAGTGAGGGAGCATGTAGGCCCTCACGGAGCTGGAATTTTACTCAGTGAGAGGTGGGGAGACATCTCAGGATCATGAGCAGCGGAAAAACATGCTCCAGCTCACATTTTGAAGTTGATTGCTCTGGCTGCTCAACGGGCAAAAAGGCTGTAGGGGAGACCAACTGGAAGCCAGGGGGCATGCTCACAGAGACCCTCTACCCAGTCTGCAGCTCCACCCGAGGTTCTGCCTACCCCACTAGCTCCAAGTCAGCTGCCCCAGGGAGGCTGCTGTACCACTCAGAAGCCTGTCCTGCCTGGGTTTTAGGCCAGTTCTGTGGTGGAGAGGAGAGCACAGGACTCACAGGCAAGATGGCCCATACACAAACACTTCACCCTCAGCACAGGCAAACTGAGCCCCTCACAAGCGGCACGCACTGACCCCAGGAACACTCTGGGGTCACATGATACACAGGACACATGACTACCCCTGTATAACACAGGGAGAAGACCATAGTGTAATTAGTGCCATTCAGATGCTTGCCCAAGCCCAAAGCCATAAACCTAGCCTAAAACCCAGAGCGTGGTACAGCAGCCTCGGTCTTGCAGAATTTCCTGGGACAGCTGTACAGGAGAACTAGCTTCAGACCCACATCTAGCACATTAGTGGATCAATGAGGGAGGGAAGGCCTATCTAGGTCAACCTATAGGCCCAATGATGTTCTGTACTGTCTCTCCTTCAGGTCTTTGCCCACTCTGATCCTTCTGCTTGGTACATTCTTCCTCTTTGGCCAGCACATTACTATTCATCTTCCAGGTCATCAACCCCTCCAGGAAGGCTTTCCTGGATCAGGACAAGCTTGCCTGCTATGCCCATGCCCAGAACCTGACAGAGCCCAGCCTGCACTAGAGCAGTTTTTTCCCCTCTGTGTAGGTCCAACTCCTCCACATCTTCTTGGCTGCCATGTAAATCTGTATCTGCAGCACAGAAAGAAGTGCAGGAAGGAATAGTGCCTGACAGGTTTTGAAGGTTGCCTGCATTCACTTGGAACACGAGGGCTGCTTCCATGTACAGAGAGTGTGCTGCCCCCCACTCGATGCTGTACTGAAGGCCTTGAGTGCAGGGAACTTCATGGATTGGGAAATTGAGGCTGAGCACTTAACTAACATCTGAAAGACTAGCAGTGGCACTATAGATGCCCAGTCTGAACCACCACGATTCTCCCTTCCTGGTTTAAATCACCTGCTGCTTTCACCCAAACTCACCCATTGTCTCCACCGAATACATAGATGGCATCTTTATAGGCCACCACTGTGTGCTTGCTGCGCCTGGAAATAAAGGAAAAGTGGACAGCAGTGAGGCCAGAACTCTACTGGGGCATTCAAAGAACATAACTAAGCAAGAATTGGATAACATCTTGCAGCTAGAAAAATGGATGAAGATCCTTAAATCCACCAGTATCCCAAAGGACTCTGCTTGCCCAGATCCCTGGCACTGTCCTGGGAGTCTTTGGACACACACCCGGCAGCAGAGCATGTCGGATTCCAGGCCAAGACCCACAAACACAACTTAATCTAGTATCCTGCTCAGGGCCACCCCGAACCGACACCCCTGCCCTGGACATGGTCCTGGGCACCACCACCCCCCCCCACCCCATGCTAGTTCCTTCCCAAGGACACCTGTCCCGACTTCGCCCCTGGCCCCGGCTCTGCGGTCCCCCTCAGAAACCCTCCCAAGATCCTCTGACGCTTGCCATACCGGGCCCCCACGAACTCGTCGCAGGGAGGGAGGCGCCGCCAACGATGCACTGTCTCGAAGGGCCCAAAATTGAGAGTCAGGTACTCGACGCTGTCCGAACAGCTGTGGTCAAAGTCCACGCTTGGGGCGACCTTGGACCGCGCGCCGCCTGTCAGGGCCCCGGCCCCAATCGGGCCTCCAGTGCCGCTCGGCCCAGCCATGTAGGGTCGGCGCCGATCGGCCACCGGTCCGCAGGACTCGCGGCCACCGCCCCGGGCCGCCCAAAGGGACTACATTTCCCAGCGAGCCCTGTGCCGCAGACAAGGCACTTCCGGCCAGCGTCACTCCCTCCCACCCGCACTTGTCGCCACGTCTAGAGCGAACCGAAGGCGCCGCGGACCTGCCCCCGACCTAGGCTGTCACCTCCCGGCGAGTGGGATACATTTCCGGCGGAGTACTGGCTTCCTGGTCGCCCTTTCTGGGAACGCCGCCCTAGTCTCCCGTCCGAGTTGCACTTCCAGGCGCCTGCCAGACCCACCCCGAGATAGGCCCTAGTTCCCGGCATGCCCTGTCTGCGCCTGGCTGGCCCTTGAAGGTCCGCGGCTCCCGGAATCCCAGATGGAGGGCTCCGGGCTGCAGAGGCTTGTGAAAGAGACCTGCTATCCCCTTCCTGCTTGCACCGGTAGTTTTGGCCTCCTGTGGCATCGTGGCCAGGGGACTGTGAATTTGCATCCCTACTTTATTGTTGAACCTGAGCTTCTTCACCTGCAAAATGAGGATTCAGGAATCTGGCTGCCAGAGAAACATGCCTGTCGCATGACAGCTTATTACAATCCTAAGGAAGCAAAGTCCCCAAACAGCCACACATGAGATGCCTCTGACTTCGGAAGCAACACTTACGGTCTCACACATCCTTTGCAACTGCTGTCCTTTTTACCCTCAGAGCACTTCCTCCAAAATTCAGATCCAAAACTGAAGGCTCCCCTAATCCCAGGGGCAGAATCAGTTGTTTCTCCTCTGGGCACTCACAGAGTATACTGTGGTTGTTCTGTCTCCAGGTCATCTGCTTTTTCCCTCATGAATATTTGCCCAATTACAGTAGAAGTCACACAGATCTGGAAATGTGTGCATTTTAATTTTAAGACAATGTCTAGTACTTTGCAGGGCTCTACAGGGGACAGTCCCAATAAAGGGGGAAGAGACAGGGCTACCCTTCCTTCACTCCCAGCCATCACCATGGGTGGCAGTCAAGGCCTTTGAGGGTGAGTATCTCCTGGAGGCAGGGGCAGGTGTGGGGGGGGCGCAAGGGGGGTTGGTGGCTTCCCTGAAGGGTAGCCAGGTAGTGGAAGGCAGAAGGCAGGCTCCAGGAGTGCTCAAGTTCTGCCCTGGGGGATCTTGGGAAATTGGAGGTTGGCACCTGCCCCCAGGGCTCAGCCTCTATCCCTGATGGCCGAGTATGCCTGCCCCAAGTCCACTTCATGCGAGCTCAGGATCCTTTCCCTGTGAGCCAGGACATGTCGCCGGTCCTACAGAAATGAGGGGAGGAGGAGTCAGGGCAGAAGAGAGCAGTTCCCCACACAGCACCATGAGCACCTAGCCCTTGAGAGAGCAAGGAGTTTGTTTTGTGCCAGGCCCTGGAGTCCCCCTGTTATGTGTACTTGGGCAGAAAGGGAAAGACTATTGGGGGCAGGCTCTGGATTGAGGTAGGAGAGGCTCAGAGAGATCAACAAGAAGGACAAAGAATACACGTACTTGCTGTGCAGCATAAACAGCCTTTGCGAAGGCAAGAGGGAGAGACAGAGAGATCAGAGAGAGCATGTCATTCATCTTGTCCCTTCTTGCTTCTTTGTTTCCAAGCTGAGCTCTTCCCATCCCATGGCCTTCAGTCTTTCCCCAGTCACTGGGGGCTCTCTCTAGGTGACCCCATGCTGGGATAAGGGTAATGGTTGGTGTGTAGTGACTCCCAGACCTCAACCTGTGCGGGCATTGCCCAGAGCCATCACTAGCTGCATTTACCTACTTAGTTTCTGTCAGACTCAACACAGCCTATCCAGTCAGGTGTCCCAAGCCTTGATCTCTCCCTAACAGCACTGGGGCTCTTCCCCTTTCTTGTTTTCTGTCTCCCACCAGTACATATAACCTGCCCACTCCCAAACCACAACCCTTGCCCTGCATAGCCCCACAGCTCTGGGAGCCATTGATCTGGGAGCTTCCAATCGATGGGGACTAAGAGTAGGGGGAAGGGCACTGGAGGATTGAGGAGGCAGTTGACTGCCATGGGCAGCTTGAGCTATTTTCTTGAGCTATTTTCTCCCTCCAGACCTCCAATGCCCACACTTACTCCACCTCCCGCTTCCGAATGGCACGGCCTGAGGCGAGGACCTCTGCCACCTTGGACACGATGGGATCATAGTTCATGCTGGCCACAGCTATCACCTCGTCACCTCTGCAGAGAGAGGATAGGTAAGCCTGACAGTGGCTTGAAGACCTTAACACACTCCTGTCCACCTGGGGCTCAGGGGTGGGGGGTGTCTAACTTAGAACAATAGAACTGTCCTGAGCACTCCCCACCCCTGCTTTGCTTTATTGCTTGGCTTCAGTCTTCCTTCTCATGGGGCTCAGGACTGGGCTCCTCTACCTGTATGACTTTCCTCAGTGTGAAAGTACAGTGTCCACACCTACCTCAGAGAGTTGTCCTAAAGATAAAATGGCCAGCATGGTAGCTGGAGTCATTCCTGCCCAGCCTCCTCACCTTCCTTGGTCTTGTCGCCTGTCTAGCTGCCTCCCTTTGCCTCCTGATCCACCTTCCCTGTCAGTTTCCACCCGAGCAGAACTTCTCTGGGATGATTCCCTCTCCCACTGTTTGGCACCCCTGTTCCACCCTGGTGCTCTCACTTTGTGTAAAAAGCCACAAACTTCAGCTCCTCCAGATCCCCCTGGATGATGACATCATCGAAGCCTTCTCCATACCCTGTGGGTGGAAGGGAGGGGGCTTCCAAGGGGCTCATACCTTGGGCCCCCCGATCGCCCCCAGGGAGCTCTTGCTCCTTCCTGTAGTCATCATGGCCCTGCCCCTAGGACGCTCATAGCCCCCCATCCGCATGCTCATAGCCTAGAGGAATCCAGGCTGTCCCCTAAGACTGCCATCCCATAACCCCACTCCCATCAGAGGCCTCTCAGTTACCTGCATAACGCAGGCTCTTGCCAAACATTGCAGTCCACAGGTAGGGCACGGTGCTGATCTCTGCCTCCTGCGCTAGCATGTTCTGGGCTGCCACACGTCCTGTGGACCCAGAGCCATAAAAGCCCTGACCCCCATTCTCACCATCCCTACCCTGTATGGGGACATCTAAAACGTGGAACTGCTTGTCTTCCTGAAAGTCTAGAGGGGCATCTTTCTCAGCCCTCTACCCAACCTCAGCTGTAGCTGACTGGTGCACAGTGGACTCTGGGCTCAAAGGCAGGCTCTCTTAGGCTTCAGATTCAGTGCCCTGAATCTGAAAGGTTGACTTCCTGGGCTTCTGGGACCTCCGGGGACCCTTCCAGTCAAACCTTTCTTATATTCAGCAAATGAGCAGCCTTTCGTTCTTTAAGACCTTGGGGCCTCAGGAGAAATTGGTACCAAGATTAGGATCTCAGGCATATAATGAGGCAGAAAAAGGGAGGGGTTAGGGAGTGAACACCTCCCAGATAATGTGAGGGCAGAAGAAAGGAGAGATAGGTTCATGGCTTCTGGAAATCCTCCCTATGAGGCGGTGAGGCAACTAACTTACTGGCACCTGTAGCTTAGGGGTCCCCACCAGGGGTACACAGGAAGTAATGTATAAGTGGCTTGTGGACCCCCAAATGTATGGGAGGAAGCTATTCTTCAGCACAGCTCCCACTGAGTCTCGTCACCAGCTCAATGGCTACCTCCTCAGGCCTGGGTGAGGCTACTGGGTTTACAGACAGTTAAGTGGCCTGAGGTAGACAGAGGTACTGACATGGGAGCTGGCCTATGTCCTAATAAATCCTTTTCTCTTACCCCAGGTAACTACACAGGCTGGTAAGGAATTCTGTAGAACATGTCTTTGAGGAGGGGCTGGTAGGACAGGTAGAGTGGGGAGCTGTGGCTGATTGTGATAAAAGACTGGAGATGGGACCACAGGGCCTACTCTGTGAGCTGGCTGACGCTGGCCAGAGAGGTTACCACAGAGCCTTGAATGGCTAACCTGAAGACCCAAACCCAAGGCCAGCAACTAAGGGCTGGATCTGGGGGAGGTTGAGACCATGGGGTAGCTTCTTGCCCCTACCCAGCTTTGAGGCTAGCCATACCCTGGACATGAGCCATCTGCCAGTGTGGGATGTTCACTTTCCTATTATTCCTCCAGGCCAAGGGGAAGGTGACAGCATCGCCAGCAGCAAAAACACCTGGGATGTTGGTCTGCATCATCTGTGGAGAAAGGACCAGAGCTCTGACCTGAAGCTCCCACCATTCCCAGCCCAGCATCCTGCCCACACCATACAGCTCCACCTTGTTGACTGGAATGAAGCCTCGGGAATCCAAACCAATGCCACTCTGCCTCAGGAAGCTGGTGGCAGGAACCGCACCTGACAGAACAGAGGCCATTGTGTTCACTCCCTAACCCCTCCCTTTTTCTGCCCCATCACTCTCCACAACGCATACCCTTCACTCACCGAAATCTAGCCCCAGATTGACTCTTTGTGGACTGCCTACCCTGGGCCTTGATGCGTCCCATCCTTCTGTCCCATACACTCCAGTGCCTCCCATTGGGCCTTATATATCACCTCTCCAAAAAGCACTCCAGGAAATCCTCCCTTTGGGGGCTGACATGCCATAACTCCCCGGCCCCTCTCAGCTACCTCCCAGCTTTGTCCTTCACCAAACTAGCACCTCAACTGGAGGGAGCAGTGACCAGTTAGAACCTTGTCTGTGTCCTGAATATTAGTGGACAGTGGTCAGTCCACTAAAACACACATTCCCAAACAGCCCTGAAAAAGGGGTATAGTTGGGGTCTGCATTTTATAGATGTTGAGAGTGAGGCTCAAAATAGGGAAGGGACTGGCCCAAGTGTGCAGATGGCTCTGTTTTTTTGTATCCACCTGCTCACCCACTCACCAATGCCCACCACGCAGACGTCAGCCCGCACAACCTTACTGCTCTTCAGCACGACCTCCTTCAGCTGTGGGAATTGGGTGGGTGAGCAGGAGGGCCCAACTCTGGGCACAGGGAAAAGGGGACAGAAAGTGGCAGGGAGTGGGCAGGAGGGCTTACCTTTCCCTCCTGGGCCCGTA